CCAGCGGCCGGCGACCCCTCGCCAACAAGGAAGCAGGGCCACCGGAATGCGGGACGATGACTGTCTGCTGGCCACAAAGGACGCAACAACTCCCGTGCCGCTGTCAAGCTCAATTATGGCGCCTTACAGGAGACCAAGCCAGGCTGCAGGTGGCCGGTACACAAGATACACGTGGAAGGAACACGTACGCGTCCGCCGGACAATCAGAATCAGCGGAGGCGACGACATTGGTGCAGGGGCCAATTGTATTGATGGCCTGTCAACCCGGCATCGCGGGAACTTACTCGTAGGCGCTTTTCCACGACCTGGCAACGCCCGTCGTCGACCATTCCGGGAACCGGTGTGAAAGAAACCTCAGCGACGACGGAGAACCGATGAGTGAGCAAGAGGCGGTGGGTCTTCGAGGTTGTGGCGAGGAGAGACACATCTGTGCGTTTTTATTGGACTATAAGAGTGGTGCGTTATGATTGGACTGTAAGAGTGGTTGAATGGGGAGACAGGGGATAAAACCAGGGGTGCAGAGAGAGAAGAGAAAAAAAGGAAAGAAACGAATAAACGTCTCTATATCCAGATGATGTCGGAGCGGTCGTTTCCTCAAGGTGCCAGCAGATGAAAAGTTCTCGTCTTCGGCTTCCTTGGCGGCCGCAGCAAATGTCGCACAACAAGCGAGAGGCGAGTGGAAAGAACCAAATGGAACGTAACTGGCGCAGTCGGCAGGATCTGCATGGCTGAACTGAGGAGGACAGCGGCGAGTGACATCGGCCGAGACTGACGACAACCACCTTCAACTGACTACTACGCTGCGGGATCAACGAAGCAAGGCTAGTCCACCGGACTCCGAGGAGGAAGAGCGCACCGCAAGGTTACTTCAGGCGGGTACCTCTTGATTTTCTGTTGGGTGCAGGCGATGACAAAGCATTACAACTTGCGAGACAGAGAAAGGGACAACTCGGAAATGAACGGGGACGGGGCAGGAAACTTGCAGGCGTTGGGAGTCGCCGACAGCGGCACGGGGGGTCATGGTAGTGTCACGTCAGATACGGCGTCAGAACAGCAGCTAGCGCTGCTCCAGCTTAAATTAAATATTGCTGAGGCAGAAACGGAAAAGCAGCGTTTGATGCTGGAAAGCCAGCGGCTACGAGCCCGTAATGGGGCAGAGTCCAACGAGAGCGATGACAGCGTAGCGCTTGGCGGAAGGTCAGAGGAAGACAGGCGAGTGAAATTCGCAAGCTTGTTAAGGGGTGTACTGGCACCTATGCCGAACCAAGAGGCGCTTGCGCCAATGTGGTTCGAGAATGTTGAGGCAACGCTCGAGTCGTATGAAGTTCCGAGCGAATGGTGGGCCGGGCTAGTGTTGCCACAGTTGAGTGAAAGGGCCCGCGGGCTGCTGTGCAGGCTTACAGCAGAGGAGCGCAAAGCTTATGTTAAGCTTAAGTCAAGCATTTTGGAGGGTCTCAGGCTTACGACGGCGGAGTACAAGAGGCTGTTTGCGGGATCGAAAAAGGGAGAAAGGAAGTCCTGGGAGCAGTTTGCCGTGCGACTTGAGGGTGACGGCTTCTGCATTCGGGTCAGAAATAGCAATGGCAGACAGGTTGTGGCAGCGTAAAGAGCAGAAACAACCGTCACTGGAAACTGTAAAGCTTAAGAGCTCAGGTCGATCATTAAATGCCGTGGTAGACTCAGGAGCGGAGGTGAGCGTCATCAGAAAGGCAGTGGTACCTCAGTACGATGGTACGGGTTTGCAGATAAAGTTGACGGGAGCGTTCGGGCAGCAGGTAACCGCTGAGTTGGCTTACGAGCCGCTCATAGCTTCTGAAGGAAGTCCTTACGTGATATCCGAGGCGGTGCAGTCGGCCGTGCTTTGTGCAATCACAGATAAGCTGCTAGACGGCACCGACGCGCTGATCATGCCCAACGATTACGCACAGCTTCTCGAGGAAAGGGTTAAACGTGACATAGTGTCAGACGAGTGTTCAGCAGTCGAGGAGACCGAAGTTATAGTAGAGCTGTCAGATGAGGCATGCGAGGAGCAACGGGCGATGGCAAGCGTCATAACCGCGGAAAGCAACAGCGAAGGTTCCGAGCCGGTCAAAAGCAAACGACAGGAGTTTCGTGAGGCTCAGGAAGCAGACACGGCTTTGCGAGATGCTTGGGCGCAGGCAAAGGCCGGAACGCATGGCATGCTCGTTCAAGACGAGCTATTGTATCATCAGGAACACCTCACGGGTCGCATCTGCAAACAGTTAGTGCTACCATCACACAGGCACAAAGAAGTGCTGAAAATGGCTCACGATTCACCATGGGCAGGTCATTTAGGAGAGCAGATATTTTCTCAACACGGGGTGCCAGAGACAATTCGCTCAGATCAGGGCACCAACTTTACGTCGAGGTTGACACAGGAGATGTTGCAAAGACTTGGGGCAACTCCGAGATTTTTCATGCCCGATCACCCGCAAAGCAACGGCTTAGTCGAGCGCTGGAACGGCACGTTCAAAGGAATGCTTTCTCACATAGTCGGCGAACATGGACGCGAGTGGGATAGAATGATTCTGTTTTTGTTATGAGCATATCGTGAGGTCCCACAAGCGACTACAGGGCGGTCACCGAGCTCATGTACGGGTGGGTGCCGAACGGGCCCCTATTCATTCTCAAAAGGACTTGGTCAGGAGACTGGGAAGTGCCGGAATCATTGGGTATGCCAGCAGCGGAATATCTTGCGAAGCTCCGAAGTAGTTTGGAAAAAGCTAGCGAAGGAGCCACCCGACAGAGTGAACTCACTCAGAAGGAGTACGTAGGACGCTATAACTTAAGGGCCACAGACGAACAGTTTGACACAGGGGACCAAGTACTATGGCTCGAGAAGGAAGGAGAGGGGAAGCTAGTGGCGAAGTGGAAGGGACCGATCACAGTGGTCGAAAAACTGCGACCGTACAGTTATTTAGATGAGCTCGAGGACGGTTCACGCAGAACCATTCATGCTAGCAAGCTTCGCGCATATCACGCCCGAGTAACTGCAGTAGGAGTGATATTCGAAGGCGATCCAGAGAAGGTCAAGGCAATAAAGCAGATCCCGGCTCCCGAAACAAAGGGACAACTTCGTAGTTTCTTAGGGCTAGCCAACTATTTTAGGGACTACGTGCCCGAGTACTCCAAAGTCGTTATGCCTCTGACTAACCTAACTGGCCGACGTATTCCGCAGAAATTACCTTGGAATGCAGAGGCGCAGGAAGCTTTTGACAAGGCGAAAAACTGTCTAGTGCAGGCGTCGGCGTTGCAGGCACCAGATCCGAGGAAAGAATCTATCCTCGCCACAGATGCATGCGATTACGCCGTTGGTGCGTGCCTGGCACAGCAGAATCTGGTGGGCAAGAAGCGCCCTATCGCTTTTCTGAGCAAGAAGCTTAGCCTGGCTCAGACCCGATGGGCCACAATAGAAAAGGAAGCTTATGCAATCATTTGGGCACTGGGGAAGTTGGATGTTTGGCTGTTTGGCGCTAAAATCAAGGTGATTACCGATCATAACCCACTCAAATTTCTGACTCTAACCACTCCGCAGAGCGCTAGGCTGACACGCTGGGCGTTGGCACTACAGAAGTATAACCTGGAAATTGAACACAAAAAGGGGTGTCTAAACGCTAATGCCGACGCAATGTCGCGGTTAGTGACTCCTAACGATGACGCAGAAAAGGGACGGTGAGTTAAAGGGGGTGTATGCTTTGTTAGCGCGTGCGCGCGACGGAGTCAACGAGGTACGAGTGACAGTTGGTGCCTCACGTGTCGAGCCAGTGAACATGTGTGCATATGCGGTTGTGTTTGTGTCGCATGTCATAGATACAGTGCAACACAGTTGAAGGGGAGATGTTGGGCTCGAACTTCGTGCGTTCCCCGAATACCTTATGTTACCCACCCAGCGGCCGGCGACCCCTCGCCAACAAGGAAGCAGGGCCACCGGAATGCGGGACGATGACTGTCTGCTGGCCACAAAGGACGCGACAACTCTCGTGCCGCTGTCGGGCTCAATTATGGCGCCTTACAGGAGACCAAGCCAGGCTGCAGGTGGCCGGTACACGTGGAAGGTACACGTACGCGTCCGCCGGACAATCAGAATCAGCGGAGGCGACGACATTGGTGCAGGGGCCAATTGTATTGATGGCCTGTCAACCCGGCATCGCGGGAACTTACTCGTAAGCGCTTTTCCACGACCTGGCAACGCCCGTCGTCGACCATTCCGGGAACCAGTGTGAAAGAAACCTCAGCGACGGCGGAGAACCGATGAGTGGGCAAGAGGCGGTGGGTCTTCGAGGTTGTGGCGAGGAGAGACACATCTTTGCGTTTTTATTGGACTATAAGAGTGGTGCGTTACGATTGGACTGTAAGAGTGGTTGAATGGGGAGACAGGGGATAAAACCAGGGGTGCAGAGAGAGAAGAGAAAAAAGGAAAGAAACGAATCAACGTCTCTATATCCAGATGATGTCGGAGCGGTCGTTTCCTCAAGGTGCCAGCAGATGAAAAGTTCTCGTCTTCGGCTTCCTTGGCGGCTGCAGCAAATGTCGCACAACAAGCGAGAGGCGAGTGGAAAGAACCAAACGGAACGTAACTGCGACATTCAACAGTTATTATAATAATTCTGATTGTAAGCTTCGGTAATATCAAAGTAGTTTACCTACACAACTTCATGATATTGGCACTTCTGTTGTTAGGCAACGTAAAAAAGAAACACGCAGAGGTGCACTCATTTTTCACATTAGTGACTTTCATAATAGTTAATCATTTTCATTCATACATGCTTCGACCCTCAAAGAAGAGGTTATCGCAGTAGCGAAGCAAGAACATACTGAAGAACGGATACAGCATAAACCAAAAGCCAGCACCTGTCGACTGGAGTTAAAAATAAGAACTAACATCGCCAGGCAACATATTGGAACATAGAATTGCACATCAACTATGGTCCTCCACTATGTGTGTCGCTCAGTTGAAAACAAACAACTCAGTCCAGTACCTGAATGTGTAGGACATGCCGAGCAGCACCAATGTTAGGCTGTGATGTGCTAGCATGACGGCCGAGTCCTTGCGCCACAGGTCTTGATACAATACGGCATACATACCATGCACATAGTAGCTAGACTGTACAGCGTATATCCACCAGATGTCCGAAGGAACAGTCACCTCCGGGGACCAGCCTGCAGAAATTTGCTTTGGTTAGCACCAGCGAGATACACGGCAAACTGAGTAACTCCGCACATACTTAAAAAGATGCCCACAATACCAGATGACAGGTATCCAACTTCAATTTACTTGAGATTAGCATTGGCAATACTGCTGCCGCGTATTCAGTGAAAAATAGGTGGCACTTTTTCAGTTTAGAACTTCGTAGGTATCAAAAATATGTAAATGTGTTGTGGATATATCTCCACTAAAATTCTAAACTTTATATGCATAACCCTAGAACACTTTAGTGACACAGATAAATGTAGACACCAATAGATGGGATTAACCCAGATATCTACTATCCATGAGTATGGCATTGCAACCGCAACATCAAAGTTGTATCGTGACACCAACAAAGATCGCTGTTTATCTATGCTGCTTTAGGACCATATATATGGAGCACCACAGAGAGCAGCTGTTACTGTGATCAAGAGTTTGCATGGAAGTAAATGCTAATTTGCATGATCGAGCACCAAAAAATTACGTTGACTAAGTTTTTCATAATGAAAACATGTAACGCATTATTGTGCTCTCTACTTGTGAATGGTTGCTAAACAAAAATAACAGGTACCGCAAACAGCAATGACCGCTTCACTTTTAAGCAGATTTCTGCAACGTGCAAAATTCGCACGAGCATTTTGCATCGCGGCTTAGTAGAGTGATGATCAATGAGTGACACAAAATCGAGTATCCTAGCGATCAACTTTACCGGAGATGATAAGCTAGCCTCAATGGTCATACTTTTGCCAACTGCAAGTGCCATAGATTATTGCAAGAGTTAGAAATGCCCATTGTGCTTTCACACACAGCTATCAGTCATCAAACCAAGACAAGTATCTGCAGACGTTCTCTGGTCTGTTCTGTCTCATAATATTGTGTGAGTGAAAAAGTGGAAGCTGCTGCTCACTTCCAGGAGAAAATTTGCTGCTGGAGCATTTTCTTAGCTGTAGACATACACTTGACCAAACCAAGCCAAGTTCTTGAACTCGAAATGATGCTTTCACAAGGGTGATCTGTACTTTTGCAAATGACGTGCAATTCAGTGCATTGCTACTTGAAAGCATGTAGTTTCATGAAAACTAACAAGCAGTAGTTATGAATTTCAGCTTGAATGAGTAATCATAAATAACATTCATATGAACTAGCATGTGCTGCAACGTAATTCTCCCCACTTGGCGAATGATGCGACAGTTCTGCAAGCACACTTGTTGCTGCATATGCCACATCATATGTCCAAGCGAACTTTCTTTGCATGACAATGAACACAGAATAAGGAATACAAGAGGCTATAAAATATAAAGAATTTGGCTTTAAACAGTGTGTGATGTACACCTAATTATAGCAAGTTACATTCATAGGTGGTAATGATGATGGGACATAATGGTGTAAGGGCCAATGTTGGCCAAGAAAGACACAGTTATTTCGTACAATATTATGTCATCATACCAAAGTCATCCAGCAACAGCACTACTGCTTGACCACAATACAAACCACTGTGCCCCTATTTAGAAACCTTAGCAGTTAATCTAAAATATCAAAATACCACAAACATTGCTATAGACTGTATCACTGTAAATAATAATCTCATTTTCATCGAATATCAAGGCATATTCTGAGGGTATTTACAGTTGGCTTCTTCAACTCCGTGGTCACTTCCAAATAGATAAAGCTTTCATAGAATGAAGATATCTCAGACAGCCTTTGTTTGTCAGTAAAACATCCTTGTTTTGCTTACTCTTGTAGAAAAAAACAAGTAAGAAAACTAATTAGCAGTGCTCACATACGATACCAGCATACAACCTTGGACAAGTGTAACCCACCATGGTGGCTAAGCTATGGTGTTGCTCTGATAAGCCACAAAGAAACATATTTCAATTCCCAGCAATGGCATAAATGTTATGAATGGGTTAAAATGCTAAAGCTAAGAGGTATTTAGATTTATAGACGCACAATAAACAACTACTATGGCAGGCCTCATAATTGTAGCTTGTTTCCAGCCCCCCCCCCCCCCCCCCCAAGAAAAACTCCTAATTCAATTTTTAGATCCTTATGGCATTTTTCAACATATAACATTTGTCGACCTATAAATAATAATAAAAAACAGCAGCATGCATGTGCTATCAGTAAAAATAAAACATTGTCACACATTAAATGCTTATAACCCGTCACACCTTGAAAACCCCCCCTCTTCTACGACACCTTTAGCGTGCCCATGAAAAGTCGGCATTCTCGTGCATCTACCAAACACTTACCGTTCCCCTTAAGATAAGTATAATAAACTCTGCAACAAGGGCAGAATGGTATACGAAACATAAACATTCCAGCAGAGATGATAGTAGCTTACCATCCCAAACGGAGAAAGGCTGCTGGAAGAAGCGGTACTTTCCCTGGAGCACCACAATGTACACGGTGAGCAGCCAGACACATCCATAGTAGAGCAGCTTCCAGGCGCTCTCAGGCAACTTGGCTACATTCGATGGCTCTAGGGAGAGCCGCCATCCCAAGGGCTGCATATAGAGAATCGCATGAGACGCCTAAAGGACTCATTTTCAAGTTTATAAGCAATCTTGCATGTGCTTCACATTTCATTAAAGGGTCCCTGAAACGGTTTTTTTCACATTCCATTTTTGATTAGACCACTACTGGAGCAAATCATTGCCACCAGAGCTCAATCGAATCACTTATTATAAACGGAGCTACGAGTACTAAAAAAGTACCCTCCTCCTCCGCTCCGTCTCACCCTCAATTCTTCCTTCAAGCGCTGAGGGCTACGCTCAGCCTTCACGGCGCCTGTGTCACGATGTGGCATGAGATCACATTCGCGTAAATCCTGCCACCGATCCGATACCGGCAATCTGTGCTGCACGTTCCACAACCAATCAGATCAGCTGGAAACGATGACGTCAGTGGGGCAGAGCGTGTCGCTTGGTGCATGGGCGGTTGAAAACGTGTTTGGCCGAGTTGCAGCAATCTGGAGTGATTCACAGGTTTAAAGCGTTGTAATAAGTTACACAGTTTACGCAGAGAGCTCAAATCAGTCTCCAATTACCCTTAGGACTTGGTCTACGGGCCCAATGTGTTTCTAAAAAATTGTCAAAACAGTTCCAGGGTCCCTAACCACTACCCATTGCCATTGTCTAGAGATTACGATGCTCAACTGCAGACTTGAAGGTCCCGAGATCGAATCCTGGCTGTGGCAGCCACGTTACAATGGAGCCGAAATGCTAAACCTTTGTACTTGATTTAGGTGCATGTTGAAGAACGTCACCAAGTGGTCAAAATTTATGGATCACTCCAGTCAGTGCCCCTCGTAATCATGTCAGTTTTGAGATGTAAAACTATAAAGTCACTATATCGTTTGGCTAGAAATGGCAGAATCGGTAATGATTAACATGGAAACGAAGAGCTAGCTGCACATGCTGAGGTTTGTATCTTGCACACAGTTTCAACGTGACTGCCATGTGAACACTTTTTATGATTGTCAATAAAAAAAAGAAAAACAGACAGCTTTCACATGTGCTGACTGCAAAATTTCTGCGCTGCCAATTAAATTGGCAATGATCTCCATAGGCAAACTTGCACAAAGTTATGTGAAGGGTTACCATATCAACACCCCCCCCCCCCCTTTTTTTTTCTCTCCAATATCCTGGTCAAAATTATATCGGTCACACTTTTAACAAATACACATGCTCTTACCTCTCACTTTCGATTTCACATTTCGTTGGAAATGTTAACAGATTTGCATCAACAAAATGAAATAAGACTAAGCTAAACATATGATATGAAGACATAACAAGGGAACGAAAGCTTTTACATCTATAGCAAGCACTGACCACACAGGATGTTTCAGTCATTGAACAAAGCATACAAAAAGCAGTGCACAATAAATAAACCCAACTAAATCAATATTGCTGGCTGCAGTACTGAGCTCTGAAACATAATATATTGTTGATTCTCGTTTGATGTTTACAATAAACTTTCATGAACAATGCGACACACTTTGAACATCTCAGTGGACACAAGTTTGTAAAGTTCCCAAACAATTCAAACAGCATAAAAAATTTTCTTGCAATTGAAGCGCTTTCTTTCGTATATTTTATGATGTATTTATAAAATAAAGACAATGGACGTTTATGAATTTGTAATACAGCATGACATCAAATATTACACAGTATGTAACAATGCGGTGCATGGGTTATAAATTATTTTTCCCCAGGCCAGCAGGACAAGAAAGACAGGCATAGCTTGGTGCTGGCTCACAACATGAGCGTTTATTTTGCAAGTACAAATATCTACGTGCTTTTCTGGAAAAAGAAACAAAAAATTGGCAAAGGAGAAACCCTACACGTGCGTCCTGTCTAGTCCTGAATATGCAATGTTCAAAGGCGGAGCTACCGTAATTTCTCCTTGCCAGTTTGTATGATCGATGGAGCACCAACACACGATGGCCCAACAGATGAATTGTGAATGCTTCAAAGTTTCCAAGGCGCGGTAATAAGAATATCTGTGCAAGACGCATGCCTGTGCAAAATTAGGAGTGCAGTCACAGTTGACACAATGTATTGCCAGACTGCCAGTTTTTGGGCTGAGGTCATCCTTGCGCTCCCACAGCCAGTCACTGCATCAACAACTGGTGTAAAGGCCGCCCAATGTCTGCTCCATGTAAAGGCCATCATGAGATGCTGCTAGCTCATAGATAACGGCACTCTTGCAGGACACAAACTGCATCGGATTTTGCTTCTTGTAAACGGCGGGGTTAGGGTGAGGGCCGCTCACTTTCGTGCATAAAAAAAAGTTTGTTTGGCACCGAGAATGCCACCCTTATGCTGGCATGTGCAGCAGCCTTTTTGATCTAGTTCGAAACACCATGCGCATAGAGCATGACCACCACTCTTGCCCTGAAATCTACAACACAAGGTCTCGCCACCTTACGATGCTTCTTTAGGATGACTTCGACCAACGCTGACAAGAACTGGTCAGAGAAGCCAGCTTCCTTTAATCTGCATAAATGCTCATGTTGTAGCCAGTGCCATGTCTTGTCCTGTTTTCCCATGCTGTTTCCTGCTATGAGGCCATGCTAACAGGCTCAAGTTCATACCAGTTAACTCTTTCATATTATAGGCCCCGTGTGGATTCTGAAGTCAGGAGGTGTGATGACATAATAAAATTTGCAGCTGTAACAAGGAATCATCTAGTGCAAGACGGGGTCAGTTGGAGATCACCAGGAGAGGCCTTCATACTGCAGCAGCCGTAAAGATAGGCTGACGATAATAATTCACCACTAATGTGCCATTTGTCCTGAACAACAAATATCACCCACACTTTCATTTAATAACATACACACAAACACAACTACACAAATAAACACTTCTGGAACAGGCTAGCCTATCAACATAGAGGAGGAAAGAAGATTATGTACCCTAGAAAGAAAATGACAAATAAACCAGCTTGAAAGATAAACCAATAAACCATGCAGGAGATAAGGACAAAGTAGCCATGTCTCATCTATTTACAAGACTGTCAAGACTATTGGTTCAAGTGGCTTTCATCCATCACTCCGCAAATATTTCTATCTAGCATATAGTGTCCACGTCAGCTTCTATTGTTTCAGCAGCTGTTGCCACCCAGTATTTGGCCTAAATGTTTCAGCTGAACTGCAACGACTATATGCATTGTTAAATGCAAACCACATGCATGCAGCACATTATATATATATATATATATATATATATATATATATATATATATATATATATATATATATATATATATATATATATATATATATATATATACACACACACACTGAGCAGGTTCATATTTTGCCACCTGTTATAGAGAAACAATTGGGGAATGCAAGACTGCCAGGCCATAAAATGCTGTCACAATGTATGAACAGTCCTGCATAACTGGCGTCCAGGTCATTATCACAAGCTTTGCAAACGCAGCTGGTCGGACGAGCCAGCGATGCATGAGGAAGTGGAAATAGGGGAGTCTAAATCAACCAGCACAGTAATATCATGAATACCGCTACGAGATGGCACAACAGAAAGGACGAATGCAGGCATGCAATACCAATAACTCACCAAACATTCAACTTTTTTAAAGCAATTTTGTTCAAACACACACGAAAAATGAAAATGCCCTCCTTATTAAACAACAGTCCATTGATGCAGATGAGTGTCATTGCACTTGGGAGACAGTTATTGACATGATTTACTATATTTCAACCCCTGCATATTACCTTTATAGCTATCTTTAGTGAATCTTATACACAAGTATGCATTGTAATGCATTATTTTATTCACATATTGCTTTGCTCGTGCAATGTGCCTCGCCTGAATTTTAGACCTTTGTGTTTACCAGCTTGTACGGTGTACTTATGTTTACTATTTATTATAATATACTGCGTTACAACATCCTTTTATTGACCTTTGTCTTTATAATACCCTCTACTAGTGCCTTAAAAAATAATGCACTAGCTTCTCGAAGCAGCACGCTTATTTAAAGCCTGAAATATTTTGCAAACGTAGCTTATGCTTCTTAAAGGTCAGTTTCGCAATAGTGTCAATCATAAATCATTGTCAAACCTCTGTACGATGCACAACATACGATTTTCATCTTTCTTCGGATATCCCATATGATGCAATTGACAGCACTGAAACTTTTGTGAGAGCCATGTGGACCTCACGTTTTAAGCAATTTGAGAAGCACGGACTGCTGAGCAAATTGGTAGTTCATCTTAAACTGAGGTGTGCGAGAAATTGAAGTACGAAAGGAAGACACCTAGACACAGCACACTCTAAGAACTGAGAATTTATTGGAACAAACAGACGTATATAAGCGGTTATATGAACCGATTGTATTAGTGATGCGCTTCCAGAAAGGCTACCTCAGCGGCAACAAACATGACCGAGGGTTTTGCGACACATGACTCACTGTTTTGTTTATAAAATACGCTTCTTTGAATTCCCGCGCTATCCAATCCACGAGTTAAGACTTCATTGTCGTATCGACGAACGAGGGTGCGCAGCCGCATTCACTACAATGCAAAGAAACGGAGCGCGGTTGTCTCTTTATAGAAGCTTTGTGATCCATAAGCCTATTATTTACACAACACCCCGTCTGTCCAGCATAACGCTTCCCACACGAAAGCGGAATGTTGTACATCACAGTGACAGCGAAATCGACCTATTTGACCCTGTGCTCGACCTGGCAAAAGTCCTTGCCTTGCTTCTCACCATCGACCTTCCTCTCCAACGACGTGCGAACACTGCCTAAATGATTGCCAGCTGAAAAGAAAACATTGCATCCATACATCGCTCCCACTTTCCTTAAACTGTTTGTTTAAACTGTACTGTGTCTAGGTATCTTCCTTTTGTACTTAGATTTCTTGTGCACCTCAGCTTAAGTAATTTGTTTAATCATATTTTTTCAGTAATTTAATATAAAGTTTCAAGCAGTATTTTAATTGTCTGAATAGTGAAACAATCCAAAGTTATTATCTTTGCTATTTCTATAAAGCATTCATTAGAAATAAAGAGCTACCACATCTAACTCATAATCAGGCATTTTGGATTAGCTTAATTTTAACAATGATACTCGTAACTATATAAATAAGATGGTGTGTACACATGAAGCTGCTGCACTGAAATTAAACTTAACTAAAACAAATACCCAGTGTAGATAAGTCATGAAAAAACACCTGGTTCATGAAGAAGCTATGGCATAACATGACAAAAAATAATGCCAGTTGAACTTCCTTTCTCATGATCAGCCTTCCATGAAGGCAATTAACTTGTGGAGTTTTCAGCACAGAAGCACTATCATCAGCATCATCACCTCATTTTTAGGGTGTGACAAGTGCTTCTCCCTGCTGTCTAATCACTTGCCTTGCGTCAGACGGCTTCATCCTAAGCCTACAAAGTTAATCTCGTCGCTCAGCCTAATCTTCCTGCCATTCTGAACACTGCTTCTCCTAGCCAGCCCCTCAAGTTTTCTTATCTGAGTTTCCATGGCATTGCTAAACACTAGTAGACTTTGGACTGCATGCTTTTTTTTTTAGTAGATCAGTAGGCCGCACTTCCTGTTGAGAGATCCGGTCAAATTGCTTTTACCAACACCATGTGACCCTCCAATCAATTTCACAAAGCAGATCTCAAAAATTATACAGCATATTAACACTTCTAAATGAAGGTGACAGTATTGTCAATGGCTCAGTGTATACAGTGTTCAGAGGTTACACAAACACATGACAGTTGACACTCTCTTGAGCAGCTAGTGACTTCTGGCTGAACACTAAAGAACCGAATGCAGCCACAATGCAATGCAGAGGCTCTTGCCTTCATCATACACTATAATGCATCAGCTAGGCATTCCCAGAGCCAACACTGGGCACGAAATTTGCCAGAAGTGTGACACTCCAAGTAACACGCTTGTATCACTCAGCATTGCACTGGGATAATAAGCAGTGTTGTCTTTCATTAACACAAATATATCAACCGTGCCTTTTTGCTCTGCATCTGAATGTACTGTGCCAGAGCCAGTGAAGCAGAGTAACCAGTACTGCTTAAAAGAAAGAAAAGCTGATCCTCACATATAGAACATTGCTGTGTAATCATCCACCTTTCATTCATGTTCATTTATGACAATCCACACTTTTACTACAAATACTTTCACCTTCATACCAGCTCCATGGTAGCTTTGTTTACAAATGGACAAAGCACTGAGCCACCAAACTATAGCTGTAGCTTCGTGATACACTCATATACATGGCAGTCTTCTCTTTCATTAAACTTCCTAAACTTTGCAGGTTTCCATGTAACGGATTTACCATCCCAGTGTCCTTCTGCTTTGAGTTGTCTATTAACTTAACCTCAATCTGCTCGCCTCCTAGTTAGTCCGGGTGATAGAAAGACTGCCTAAGAATAGTTTTCACCAGATTTGGGGACCTTACTGACAAAAAAAAAAAAAAACTTGCATTTTGTCCAGCGATGAACCAGATTCATTGAACTCATCTTTCAGAATGTTCTCGAAACATTATATTCATTGCTGTGCTTTTACACAGGTACAGAGGTTGTTGTCGTATTCGTACTACATTATTATTATTTTATTAATTGTTGTTTTACCACATTTACAACCCCATGACATTACTTGTACAGTGGCAATGTTATCAGGTATCAGTTTTTTTTGCCTTTTTGCAAACATGTAACCCAATAACCACGACTTTCATTTGCATTATTATGGTGGCTCAACATAACATTCATTAAGCAAGAAGAAAGATTCATGATGTCTCATCTTATGATGTTGCATTCCTTAGAGATTCATAGTTTGTACTAGTGTCTCTAAACAACTACAGTGGACTGCGATGAACATCATAATCACGGGGCCATGGATTGAACAACTTATTCATTTGCCTTTACTTGCACAATCGTTTTCGTGATGCATGTGAATAAGAATTTCAAGGTGGACAAGACCCGAGACACTGCACTCAAGTGCATAATTCCACAACCACAGTGCATCATTAAATACAAGTACTGGTTAATTTTTCTGAGTACTTTCATGTTTTTGCAATGTCCTCGCCCATTTTATGTGTGTGGACTGTACCACATGTCCCGTCACATAATTCTAGGATAGATGAGTACTATAATAATTAAGCACGTTTATAACCAACACTTTAGTAGTCGCTTTTCTAAAATATATATTAATTCAATAGTCAGTGAGCAAGATGTCGCACTAATGCGCACATTGTGGAGTTGAGGCTACCAAACATAAAAAGAAAGTCGGTCCGTAGTATGGAACGATATTACGTAAGAATGTAGTCACGAGAACAGACCAATCATAACTGCAGGAAGAAGGAGGGCGGAAAGGCGCTGCAAGCGAAGTGTCAAATGAGAGAAATGGTCGCAAGGTGTGGGGTGGGGAGGGGGGGGGGGGTGAAAAACGCCCATCAGCAAATGGCACTGGTAGGCAGTGAAGGCGAGCATTCGTCGAAGCAAGTTTCGTTTTCCAAAACGAACGACCATTGTGTAAATAGAGGCTGTCGGAGTATCTCACGCGGAAGCAAACAATACGAGAACTACCGCGTAGGCGCCACGCTATTCAAATGCGGGCCGTTTTTTCCCATGAGAACAATGACCAAAACATTCGTCGCTATCGGTCACGCGATTGCTCAACTCGTGGCGATAGCGTTGTTGCCTCTATCCCAACGTGTCTGCGATCAGCCTTGCGAACGGACACGCAATCGACGGTGCGCATCGCCGAAAGCTAGCCAGGCCCAGTGAAAGGCACCCCTGGCAGGGGCAGCCGCAAGGGGCGAGCGTGTGCCCTGTGTGAACGGAGTGTACCCGATTTCAGGCGGTGGGCGCGTCCACTCGCCTTGTGACAAGCCGGCCGACGACGCACGCACAGCAATGGGAGGGGAGCGCGCGGCGAGCAAAGCACGCCTTGAGATGAAACTGCGACAGCAACAGGCGAAGGCGCGCGGTCGCGGCATTACCTTAAAGACACGATCGGTGAGCAACCGCCTGATCAGAGTCCAAAGGACGGCCAGCACGAGGACCACGAAGACATCCTCGAGCGGTATGAAGGGCCAAGAACGTCGATGAGGCCCAGTGGCACTGACGGACTCGGAGCCGTTAGTCACGTAGAGTCCGTAGTGGCACACGTTGTACACGCCCCGCAGCACGTCGAGATACGAAGGTACGACCTCCCACTGGCCGTCGTCGCCGGACATGGCTTGACAGCACCACCACCACACCCCCACGAACCCGTAGTTCCGTGCGGACCCTCGCTTGCCCGTATGCCGCCGGCCCAACGAATGCGCTGCTGCTGCACCTTCGGGCTGTCCGCGCGAGAGGGCGCGGTCGGCTGCCTGGGGAATAAAGTCCCTGGGGAACGCGCTTCCCTGTCACTGAACACCTACCGCCGCCGCTCCGCAGGCCGAATCAACGACGCGATCATATCGCGCTATCCGTGACGCGCGCACTGTGAGTCAATTGAGCATTTTGAACGCACACGAGACGCTTGGTATCATAGCGGATATGCTCTGTTTCGTGTGTTGTTTACGCCGTAACGAATGGCATGAGCAGCTCAGTAAGCACGCCCGACTCACACGTCCTTCACATACCGTTACACAATTAGGGCGCGCGGGAAACTTCGAAAGACGGAAATGTGTTCTTTCTTTAATGAAAGAGGTGGTTCGTACATACAGGTCTCTAAGCGTGATATTAAGGGTCTTGAGAAGGTAATGTAATATTTCCGATGCAGTTATTCCGGTACTGTGCGTGCACATATGCCAATCACACTTTCGAATAGGCTGCTGCGTGTGCATTGTCTTCTTTCACCACCACCCCACCCCAAGTTTTTTTTTTTTTTTTCTCTTGCGAAATGTACTGTTACGCCTCAGTCAAACATATCTAAGCAATCTAGGCATCAACTCGCCCAAAAAGAAGTCTTTTTGGAGATATGCGATTCGTTTTGCAAGACCTACATATGCGTAAAAATAATCAAGTTCGGCACCCCTCGTTTGTTTATGCTGTAAAATATTTGTTGTAGCGCTTCTTGCGCATGTCATTCAGCGCCGGTGTTGCGTTGGTCAAGAATAACATGCGACTATGTGCAAGTGGCGGCCCTCAGCGCCCAAGTCACGCAGGCGCTCGCTCAATGACCCCGAGGAGGCGCTCGCCGGGCTCGGCCACAAGTTCAGCGGCGCGCTGTGAACTTTCGGCCCGCTGCGGCAGCGAAAACCCGTACCCCCGGGAGCGTCTTGCGCGCATCGTGCGTGCGCACACGGGGAAAACGGCCTCGCATCGCTGATAGAGAACCGCGTCCTTGTGACGAGTCCACGGGCGCGCGCACTTCACTCGGAACAACGACCGCTGAAACCCAGGAACACGCGCTTTCGTACGCGTAGAATGACGATTATTTATGATGAAAGTTGGAAAACATAAGTTGTGTGTTACCTCAATAATGCTTGTCTCGAGTTGTCAAGCCTGCAGTCGATGAGAGAAACATGATCGATGAGACAAAAATTGAACTGCTGAGCTGACATCAAGTACGGTGGTAGTGGTTAGAAGATGAGAAAAGGCACCTAATTTCTGCAACCCGGTCGGGAGCACGGCGCAGTGCCTGTCGAGTACGCACGAAACGATTGTAGTCGCTGGGGTAGCCAGGCAAGGGGGGAGAGGAATTTTCTAGCGCACATGTATATATATATATACAATGCCGGCACGAAAATATAGTATAATTGCCCCCCCCCCCCCTTGCCTACCAAAAAAAAAAAAGATTTGTGGCTACGCTCCTGTCGAGTGTCTTCGTGCTAACTCGCTCTGCTCAAACGTACGTCGCGGTAAAAGCATCGATCCTAGAAAAATATGCGCGGAAATTATGACATGCATACTCGTGTGCTTGGCGATGCTGCTATAGCTAGTGTTTAGAGGATTTTAATTTTCCATCACTGCAAAAAAAAAATAATAAGCTGGTTAACACCAAAAATGCCAGCGAGCTGAGAAACACATTTCGTACGTCACACCGTCAGCATACTCGCCTTTAGTTCGACGACCCTTTGCAATAAGAATCGTATACTATGCTGGTATTTCCGGCCCAATGAGTGTTAGTTATCGCACCGTGCAAACGTGATCCATCGTGTGCATGCTTTTTTCTACACGTTATGGTGTACACGTATACCACGTGTTTCACGACATGCGATGGGGAAATGTCCTAGATATAGAGATGAAGAGACCGTATAAAATGATTTCTCCTGGATTCCTTTTACCACAACACGGTCACACAAGATGACTGGATGCAAGCATGTGTGAACTGAGTTTTCACGTTAACTTAATTAGGAGTTTACCCGGCAGAGCCCATAATACGCGCTTTAAAAGCCACAACTTTCGGTGGTTCTGGATTCGCATCCCACCGATGAAAAAGGGTGTTCTCTTGGGACTATTTGATTTCAAGTTGCACCATCACTACCACGCTACACGGAGGCCACTCTACAGTGAAAGACAAGACCCCAAGCTTTGCTTGGCCTAATTGTCCGCTGGGATCATGTCAGTGGTGTAGCCGGGGGATGGCACTCCGGGCCAGTGCCCACCCGCCTGACATTTTTGAGCAATAAATTACCATTCCAAGGGGTACCGCCTGACATTTTTGAGCAATAAATTACCATTCCAAGGGGTACCGCCTGACATTTTTGAGCAATAAATTACCATTCCAAGGGGTACCCCCCTCCCCGAAGAATAATTTCTGCCTACGCCCCTGAATCAAGTGCAGAAAGCCTCCGCCCCCCCCCCCCCCCCCCAAAAAAAACTCTCCTCCTTTCGTTCTCTCCCATATGTGCTTCTGGCGAGTTCTACCATGCAAAATATGTTTTCTCTCTCTCGACTGTTGTGTCTGGAAGAAGGATGCGCGCGCGTTAGGAACGATCTATGCGTCAGCGTTAGTCTGAAATTTAAGCTGCTTTTGCACCTGGCAAGACATACACTCGACACTTCGCCGGCATGCCGCCACGTGATCTGCGCGACGTGCTCTGCTATTTACAAATCAGGGCTTGCTGTTTCACCACGCGTTTCACTTTCGCACCTCTACGCAGCAGTGTGCACGAAAGAGAGCGCCAACACTTGAAAAATTGGTGGCATCCTGCTTTGTTGGCACGTTCGTTTGAAAGGACGGAAAGCTCGTGTCTTCACTGCTTATAGATCTCACAATTTTAAGCGATATACCGTGAGTCTGTCATACACAGTATATAGTAGACTAGTTCTACTCAGAATTAATACAGACAGTGAAGATAAGAGAGGAGAATGGCTTGACTGTGAACAAATTAGCCAGGTATTTCGTAAATAATGCAAAATTAGAATGTAATGATAATATTAACTACGGTGAAAATATGGGTGGAGACGCTGATCTCGCGTAATGTACCACGAGAAGATACGCGAGACAAATATATCTAGGATGACTGCCACTTGGGCATGTTGGTATAAATGAATGATAAAACAAGCGCCATAAGTATACGAAGACTTAGAAAGGACGCATGACGAGCACATACTAGCAACTTAAACTGTTCATTTCGAAACAAACACTCTTACGTATGCATAACACCCATGTCCGTCACCATTATAACGACCCCTTATTATCACGAACAACGTGAAGTAACGTAAGACCGCCCCCCTAACCGATGGCATACAACCGATAAAAACACGTTTTAAGCATGTACAAGGGTGTTCGTTCAGAAATAAAAGTTTTCAGTTTCTAGTAAGCGCTCGTCCTGTGTCCTTTCCGAGTCCTCGTGCTTATTGGCGCTTGTTTGACCATGCACAAATGTGTACTCGAGACTTGAGCATGGTCGAAACACTGCGACCATATATGTTTGGGATCTTCTCGCAAAAAGACGTCAGAAATACACATATATGCGCAGTAAAAGCGGACACACCGCAGGCACACTGGAGTGTGAACTCGACCATAAGATGCCTCGCAACTAAAATCGGATAGATAGATTAACGCCGCGAAAGCACTGCGTGACGTTGCCATCGGCTTGGAAAATGTGCTTTTCAACTGATGAGTTTAATCCACTTATTGTGGGCCTGTCTGCGACAGCGATGTGCATTCCATGTATATACCTTCTCAAGAAAACCGGTATATTTTACATGTGAAGCATTTCTTAGCGAACTTCGGCGACTTGGAGGATATCTATCTATAGCCGCTTACGTTAGGGTGCTCTTGTGAACACCCCCTTGACTTGTCGTGAACCAAAATTAGCTTGGGAGGGTAACATGGTTTGACGAATATGACGTTCTGGTCAAAACATGAATATACTGTCTCAATACCGTCGCGTACGTCGTCAAACATTTCTCGCCAGACAGTGGCACATATCCACGGGCGAGTATGTGCCGCTGGTATGCGGGTATGTGCCACAGGGGATTGAAACTTTGTATCTACCCAGGGACGACGAGAACACACATGGGTAATTTTAACGCATGAGCGTTTAGCAATACCCGACATCGGCAGCGTCGACCCAACAAAGGCATAGAATAAATGTGCAGTGTTACGAAAAACCTGACATAGTCAACCTTAACACCCCGACGAATGCAAATAATTAATTTCAGGGTCCCAGCAGGACTCGAACCCAAGAATTCTGCGTGGCAGTCAAGCATTCTGTACCACAGAGAAACGCCAGGTCTCGGAACTGCTTTCCAAATAGATGCTAATTTTCGTGAAACGTCAATCGTGCACGGTTGCAGTGCTGCCTACCCAATTTTATAAACATTACGTATGTTTGATACAGCTGTCGCGTCGGGTTGACGTCAATTGTGGTTATGTGCCATGTGCTGAAGTTCATTTATGTAGCAGTGTCCAGGGCCAGCATCTTCGAGAGCATCAGCGCTTCGTATCAGCTTCTGGTGTTGCTAACACGCATGTTCCAGTTGGCATCGTTGCGCAAGTGCAAACTATTGGTTATATAAACATCTGCAACTCTTCAACATATGTCTGTGCGTGCAACATCTGTACATATATTTAGCTTCATTTCATGAGGTGTCGCTCAATTAAAGAAAAATGCAACACGGTCCCCACACCTCCGCATGCTTCGCATAGCGTTGATTCCGGGTACGTGGGATCTGCCGAATTTTTTTCCTTGGTGGTTACGCACAAAGTCAGCCGTCCAAAACCGTGTCACAGCTTATAGAATATCAGAAAAAGAGAGAGGTTTGTGGTATCTTGACTTAGTTCCCTCGTGTGTGCGTTTTCACGTTCAGCATGATTTACAGCTGCTGTCCCAGATTGTGGGCGCCTATATAACGCAAGCCTAACGTGTTACCGCGGTATTAT